ATTTTATGAGACTAGTTACCCTGATATCAAAATTAGAAATAAAAAGATGTTAAAGAAAATAAGAGGCCAATATCCTAAACACGGAAGCAAAAATTCTTAACAAAATATCAGCACATAGAATCTAACAATATATGAAAACAATAATATAGCATGACCAAGTAGAGTATACCCTCCAAATCCAATGTTTGTTTAACACATGAAAATGAATTAATGTAATTGACCATAGCAAGCAAATAAAGGACATGCCAGATGCAGAAAAGACATCTCACAAAATTCAAAATCTGTTCATGATAAAAACAAACAAACAAAAACCTCTCAGCAAACTAGGAATAGAAAGAAATCTTCCTCATCCTGATAAAGGACATCTATGAAAACCAACAGCTAACATCATACTTAATAGTGAAAGATGGAATACTTTTCCCCTAAGATCAAGGACAAGACAAGAAATCCACTCTGGCCGCTCTATTCCACTTTGCCCTGGAGGTTCTAGCCAGTGCCATAAGGCAAGAAAAAAATAAAAGGCATCCAGACTGGGAAGAAACCGTGTTCTTTTTTCTAAATGATACAATTTCAATTCTCCCCAAATTGGAGTACAAATTCAGTGAAATCCAAACCACAATCCCAACAGGCTTTTTAAACAGAAATTGACAAGCCAACTGCAAAATTCATATGAATATACAAAAGTTCTATATTAGCCACAATAACTTTGGAAAAGAATAGTTCAAAAACTTCTTGATTTCAAGACTTATTATAAAAATACTATCATAAAGACAAAGTAGTAGTGACATAAAGAACACAAATTGACCAATGCAATGAAATAGTTTAAGAATAGGCCCATATTTATTTGGCCAACTAATTTTTCACAAGGGTGTCAAAGAAATTCAATAGAGAAAGGATAGTCTTCTCAAAAAATGATTCTGGACAATTGATACATAGAAAGAAGCAAACCTTTTTACTTTTACTTTTACATGGACAAAAGTAAATCCAGCCTCCAAAACTTCTTAATGATTCTTGCCTCCTTGTATTTGTACCCTTGCATAGTCCCCTCCCACACTGAACAGGGCTGACCTGTACAACCAATAGGATATTGCAGAAATAATGGAATGTGACTTATGATACTAGGTGACAAAAGACATTGCAACCTCATCCTTGTTTCTCTTAGATAACTCTCTCTGGATAAAGCCAGATACTTCATCATAAGGATACTCAAGGAGTCCTATGGAAATGTCCATGAGGCAAGGAACCAAATCCCCTTGTCAACAATTAGCTCAACTTGTCACATATGTAAGTGAGCCATCTTGGAAGTAAATCCTCCAGCTCATTTAAGGCTTCAGTGTTTTAGTCCGTTTTGTGTTGCTATAACAGAAATACCTGAGACTGGGTAATTTATAAGGAAAAGAGGTTTATTTGGCTTACAATTCTGGGACAGCTGCATCTGGCATGGGCCTCAGGCTGCTTCTACTCATGGCGGAAAGTGGTAGGCAGCCAGCGGGTACAAGCAGATCACATGGCGACAGGAAGCAAGAGAGAGAAGGCAAGAGAGAGAGAGAGAAGGTGCCAGGGTCTTTTTAACCAATGAGCTCTCACGGGAACTAATAGAGCGAGAACTCACTCATTAATCTCCCCTCCCCCAGGGGGAGCATTAATCCATTCATGAGGGATCCACCCCCATGACTCAATCAGTTTCCAACACTGTCACACTGGAGATCAAATTTCCACATGAGTTTTGGAGGGGACAACACATCCAAATTCCATCACTTCAGATAATTGCAACCCAGTTGACATCTTGATTGCAACTTCATGAGACCCTGAGCCAGAACCTCTCAGCCAAGTCACACCCAGATTCCTGATCTACTGAAACTGTGTGAAATATTAAATGTATACTGTTGTTTAAAACCACTAAGTTTTGGGGTAATTTGTTACACCACAATAGATAACACAATCCTACTTACACCATACACAAACTAATTTAATATGAAACATAGACTAAACATAAAAGTTTAAAACTATAAATCTTTAAAAGAAAATATAAGAAAATATCTTTGTGATCTGGGAGTGGGCAAAGAGAGGACACAGAAACCAATAACCACAAAAGAAGAAAATGGATAAATTAGACGTCATCAAACTTAAAAACTTCTGCTCATCAAAAGATCATTAAGAAAATGAATAGGCAAGGCTCTAACTGGAAGAAAATATTTATAAAACATATATGAAAAAGGACTCAATTCCAAAATATATAAAGAACTCCTACAAATCAATAATAAAAAGACAAGCAGCCCAATTTTAATACGTCAGCAAAAGACTTAAATAGACACTTGACAAAGGAAGATATAAAAATGCCCAATAAGCACAACAAAAGATGCTCAACATCATTAGTCATTAGAGGAATGCAAATGAAAACAACAATGTGATACCACTATACACCCACCAGAATAACTAAAACTAAAAAGACTGACAACACCAAATGTTGGCAAGGATATGGAACAACAGAAATTTTCATACATTGCTGGCAGGAGTATAAAATGGTACAACTACTTCACAAAAATTGCCTTTCTCCAAAGTCCTAAGCTACATGAACCCTATGACTAGCAATTTCATTCATAGGTATTTACCCAAGAGAAATGAAAACATATGTCCACAAATATACTTATTCAAAAATGTTCATAGCTGACTTACAACAGCCCAAATGTGGAAACAGTCTAAATCAACAGGAAAAAATAGATAAACAAACTGTAGAATCTGTATACAACAGAATATTTGTAATAATAAAAAAGAACAAACTACTGATTCACACAAAAACATGGATGAAACTCAAAGACATCATGCTAAGCAAAAGAAGCTGGACCCTAAAGAGCATATACTTTACAATTCCTTTCATATGGAATTCTTCAACAAGCATATCTAATGTAAGGTTAAAAAAAAATTTAGAACATTAGTTGCCAGGAACAGAATGGGGCAGTTGGCTGAGCAGAGACATGAGGGAACTTTCTGGACCAACAGAAATGTTTCATATCCTGCTATGGGTGTGGGTTACACACGTGTATACTTCTGTCCAAATTCTACAGCTTAGATTTGTGTATTTCAATTTATGTCAATTTTACCTCAAGAAAACAAATCTTAAAAAATAGTAAGTATGATAAGTTGGTGAGGTGATGGAAATGTTAACTAGCTTGACTGAACCTTTCTGCAATATATATATAGATAGATAAAATATTACATTGCACACCATAAATATTCACAATTATTATCTGTCAATCAAAAATAAATTAAAAAATAAAAAAATAAGTGCTGGGTGGGGAGTGGAAAAAGTTATGGATAATAAAGAATGACAGAATGTTGGCAGTTTTGGAGATGAGTGATTGACAAATGGTAGTTTTTATACTATTTTGTTTACTTTGCATATGCTTCAAATTTCCCTAATCAAAAGCTAAAAACAGAAAAAGCAAAGATATCCAAAGAACAAATCCTATTTTCTAAATTATCTAATTCATGAGAAATGAAATTACTCTGTTAATCTGTTTACTTTGCATATGCTTCAAATTTCCCTAATCAAAAGCTAAAAACAGAAAAAGCAAAGATATTCAAAGAACAAATCCTATTTTCTAAATTATCTAATTCATGAGAAATGAAATTACTCTGTTAATATAAAAGCTTCTAATCATTTAATCTCAATTTCTGTACATAATTTGTCACAGTACAGTTACAAATATCTATGCCAGGCACCAGTTCCCAGACCACACTTTAAATAGCACTGTCCTAAACTCTTTGCCTCATTTTTTTCTTCACCAAATGATAATATAATAGCAGCAGCAGGAGTAGTAGTGGTAACAGCACTAACCTCTTAGAGGTTTTACAAAGATGAAATAATAAAGCATATGTATAGGGCTTTGAAGAGTGCCTGGCATAGCAGTATTCCATCAGTATTAACTATTATTCTCATTATTACAACCTAATACAGTTTGTTTGTTTGTTTTTTAATTCCCAGGATTTATTTAGTTGCCAGTAATTTTATGCCTTTTTCTGAGTTATGTCCCTTACACTTTGAGTTTATTACTTTAAAAAATCTTTCTGCTTACATCTTTTTTTTAAAAATCAAAACTATAAAGAAGAATTATCTACTTAACTAATAAGAAAACTGAGGTTCAGTGATTCAATGCAGCAGACATATCTCAGGGTGATTGCCCAGCACCAACTATTCCCTGAGACAAAGGGGGTGATTCCACAGCCAAGTCATTACTGCCAGGTGCTCCCTAGCCAGGATGATTTGCCCACCAGGAGCAGATACCCAATTACAGCTGAGTCACAGATTCTTTCTCCCAGCACCTATGCTGATTTTGGCAGTTCTGTGAGAGGGCTCTCAAATCTGCTATCTTGTTCCTGTTTTTCCAGAGGCTGGGGAGTTAGGATCCTCCATGCAGTGGCTCCCCTAGCATCCTTCTGATAAGTTCACTCTTTATCTCTTAGCTGGCCAGAATAAGCTGTCCTTAAAATAAGTTTTTCTTTCCTTTAAAATAAGAAAAAAAGAACCAAATAAGTCAGCATAAAAGTGCACGTAATTAACATCAATCAGTGACGGAATGCCATGGAAAGGAAAATAGAAAAGTTACCGAGTCATAGGTCAAATTTTTTTTCATACCCCTGCCTGTACTGTAACTACGATCTCTAGAACTTTGACAGACTTTCTCGTACAGAATCTCATTTCATGAACAGTTCCTGAGGGTACAGAATCTCATTTCATGAACAGTTCCTGAGGTACCACAAGCACCTGTTTCCAGAGTGTTCCAGCCATGTCTTGTAAGTGGAAATGAGGACATGCAACCGCAGCAGTACCCTGGGTGCGAAAACAGGGTGAAGACCACCCCCAGGCACAGCTGTGTTTGACAGGGATTAGGAACCGGGAAGGGGGGAGGGGGAGGCGGGCGCTGCCTCTGCCCTCCGGCCCCACACCCACCTGGCCGGCCACCGTCCCCCTGCCCGCGCCCCGCCGCGCGGGTACTCACAGCTCTGGTCTCGTATAGAACCAGCTTCTGGACCGAGCTGATGATGGGGGCGGCGGCCGAGGGCATGGCGCGAGCAAATGAGGGCCCCACGACAGGGCGCCAGGCTGCGGCCCAGGTTGTGGCAACCGCCGCACCGCCGCAGGAGATCCGGCGAGAAAACACCTCAGACCCTGAACACCACCAGGTCCGGGGGGGAAAAACACTTCCTGGGCACTAAAGCTACAGATGATCGGCCACAGTTCGGGTGTTTCCGGATCTCTGCGCCCGGCCTCCACGCAAGCCCCGCCCCAGGCACGGCGTGAGCCAGGCTGGAGACTGGGCCATAGAGACCTGCGTGCTGTCGAAGGAGGAAGCGAAGGGCGCCATCTTTGGTGCGGGCAGAAGAAAATGTGGGCGGGGAAGTAGTTGCTGGATTAACTCAGTCTCCAGCTTATCTCTTCCCGCTCTTTGGAGAAAGGGGAAGTTTTGGTCTGGGGTTGTTTTTTTGAAGCGGGTTCTCTGAGTTGCAGGATAGATCCATTCCCAAGTTGGTCTGTTTTTTTCCCTGCCTACCTCTGCCCTTATTTTCCTGGAATCCTGCTCTCTGATGCCTCTTCACTGCACCAGTGTTTTTTGATCTCACCTCTCTTTGTTGCTTATCTTATCCTTATGAGAGTCAACAAAATCCATATTGTACCGAGGCTGTGTGATCCAAGGAATTAATAAATAAATATGTCACCTAGGGTTGGAAATTTTGGAATTTGCCACATATTTATGCCTGAAACTAGCCATTTGTAAATCCTAAAAATGACTACCGAGTATTAGGGCAGTGGAAAAGCACTGGCTTTGGAGTCCGGCTTTTCTGGGTTAAAATAAGGTTTTTCCATTCCATGGGTGTGAACATGAATGGGCAATGGATGTACCTTTTCTTCTACATTTGTGAGTAAGAGTGTATTATGAGTACAAAATTAGGTACAAAAGCGAACCTTTAGAATTAAAAAAAAATCACCACCTCCCGGGGCCCCGCCCTCCAAAAAGCTCTGCGCGCCGCCGCCAGAGGTTTCCGAAGCAACCGCTCAACAGATCGCCGGAGCCTGTGGAGGCGGCAGCTGCCGGGACGGTGGGGTCCGCTGCGGCCAGGTAAGTAGACTTTTTCCCGGTGCCAGCAAGGTCGTTGCCCACCCCCCGAATGCATTTTGGTATCGGTTGCACACAACCACACTCCTGCGGGGAACCCACACCAATTCCTTTTCTTATAAAACTAAACTTCGCGATCGCTTCGTAAATCCATTTTTGAAAACCACTTCTTTCAACGCCTAAGGTATTTATTCGACAATTATTTACTGAAAACCTATACGAGCGTGTAAGAGGTACTGGAGTGGCAGCTAACCAAGCCTAGGCGGAAGTACTGTGTTACCTAGGAGATGTAACCCCTCTAAACCTCAGAATCCATTGCTTTAGGTTTCTCAACTGCTAAAAGTGTAATGAAACTTTAAAAATAGAATTATAGCATAAACACGTAACATAATGTGATATTACAGATGATACTGTAAATTCAAAATTGAGAAATAGAATTTTGAAAAATTTTTATTGGATATTATTTTAGTTTTCTTTCGTAGTTTGGTACTCCTTTTATTAAGAGCTAGAAAAATGGCCATGTCAGTTCTGACATTTTGCATTGGTTTGGATTTTTGAACTGGAAAAAATATTTAGCTCTGTTCCAGTTCATAATGAAAACCAACTCTTCTAATTATGAGTTAAATATTTGCACGATGTTTTTACTTAGGATCACAACTCTTAAAATATCTGTGGAATTCTGGTTTCTGAATATTTCTTTTTCAATTATTATATTATATTATTAAGGACTTTCATTTGAACCTTGTCTTAGTTTGTTTCACCCAGAAGCAGGTGCTGAGACAAAAATTTGAGGGCAAGTGGTTTATATAGGAGGTGATCCCAGGACACAGTAGCAGGGAAGGGAAGCTGCTAAAGGGAGTATTATCAAGCAAATTTTTATGTGGGCTGAATTCACTAGGGAATACTGTGATGCATGCCTCAGAATTAACCCCTCTTAAGGGGCAAGGGAGCTGGGATATTTATTTACTAATTCCCATCAGTTATTGGTTGAATCATGCTATAGCAGAACATTGATTCCCTGGAATTTCCAGTCTGCCTGTGCTCAACTGGAGAGATCTATTAGAGTCACAAATGCTAGCATTTGGAAGTCGGGCTGGCCATGCATAGAAAAAGTACATGTCAAGTGGATATAGGAAGGGCACTATCAGCATCTGCTACATTCCACCCTTTGTACCACTCATAACTGCTCTTCCTCCACATATAAGTGCACACCATCCTATCACTGATTCTAAGGCAGTGGATAGTCTCAATTTCTAAAAAAAAAAGATTACAAAAAGAAGATGAATGGAACAAGCTACAGAATCCACTACTGCAATTAATCTTAGGTCTGTAATTGATCATTCATCATCTCCCTCTTTTACCATGCATTTTAGATTTTCCTTACCCTTGGCCAACACTTCTGCTGGTCCAGGTTGTTTGCCCAGTAGGATAACCAGTTTTCATCTCTGAGGAGTCTAAGCCCCTGGTTACTGTGTCCTTGTCAGGGTGCAGTTGCTGCAATTACCCAGTCACTGAATATGAGAGCATCAAGAGGTGCATCTCAGAGAATCCCTTGAGTTCAAGACATAAATCCCCCAAGTCAATCACTGCAAGTGATGATGAGAGGGGCCACTCCTACTTCCAACCATTGGTTCAAAGCTTATGTGTTGCTTTGCCTCCCACGGATTTGTTACCCCACTTCCCCTGGGTGACGGAGCTGTAAAAGATTACTCAAAGCCCATCTCTTCTGAGCAGTGAGAAGCCCCAAAGGGGTTAATCTCCCAGAACCCTCAAGAGCAAGGCATTCCTTCCATTTGGGAAATTAGCCACAAATTGGGGTTCTCTTCCTGCATTTATTCTCCAGACCAGGAAGTTACGGAAGAAAACATAGGTGGGGTTATAGTTTAACAATACAGGCTGGTAACATTCAGTAAAACAAGCAAAGTGACATTTCATAATGCAATTTGTAAGAAGTTAAGTGATCCACCAACAAAAACTTTATCTTAGCAAACATTCCTTCTCCCACAGCAGTTTCCCAGTATCTTTACATATCAATCAGTAACTTGTCTGTCTTTTAGCCAGCAACCTTGCTGTGTTACAATTCCTTATCTTACAACAGAGACTATAGCCTGGGGAAAATTTCCTGTCTTTGGCAAGGTCAACATTTTATATGTACTTATAAGAAGTTAGACTAAACCTGAAACTATAAGAAAGTAGGCCCAGTGAAATACATTTGCTTTATAGTATACTCCACACTTATGCCTCGTCTTGAAGTATACACTGTCTCAATCTCACACATTCCCAAGCAACTTCTGGGTGAGGTGGATCCCATGTTCACGGGCCTCTTGTAATATCTCCTTTATTGTAAAGAGGGTCCTTTGGTCCAAGACAATATTATATGGGATCCCATGATAATAAATGAGAAACACTCTAAGCCACATGAATAGTGGTGCTGGCCAAGGCACTGTGGGTAGGAGAGGCAAACCCAACCTAAGAACACATGCCACTTGCCCCTTCTGAGGTGAAGGGGTCCTGTGTAATCAATTTGTCACTGAATGGATGTTTTTTCTCCTCAAGGTATATACCATATTGAAGGCTCCACGTCAGTCTTTGCTGTGGAGAGGTAGAACATTCAGCAGTAGTAGTAGCTCAATCAGTCTGGTGAGAGGGAACCTTGCTGTTGAGCCCATGTGTAGCCTCCATCCCTGCCATCATGCCTACCTCATTTATGAGCCCATTATGCAAGAACTCAGGTGACCAAGGACAAAGATTGGTGGCATCTACTGGATAATCATCCTGTCTACCTGGTTGTTCACTGCCTCTTCTGAGGTAGATGCTTTGTGAGACACAAGATCCACATATTTTGTGTCCACTAGCATTAATTTTCTATTAATTTTAAGTTTAATTAATTTTAAATCACCACAAATTTAGCAGTTTAAAACAACACACATTTATTATCTCACAGTTTCCATGGCCATGAGTCCTGGCATAGCTCAGCTGGGTCCTCTGCTCATGATCTTCCAAGACTGCAATCAGGTGTTGGCTGAACTGCACTTTCATGTGGAGACTCAGCTAGAGAAAAATCCACTCCCAAGCTCATTTACAGTGTTGGCAAAATTCATCTCTTTATGGTTGTAGGACTGAGGTACCTGTTTTCCTACTGACATTTGGCCAGGGGTTGCTTTCAGCTGCTGAAGGCCACCCACCGTTCTTCGCCCTGTGGTCCTCTCACAAAATGATGGCTTACTTCATCCAAGCCAACAGCAAGTCTCCAGTCTGTGAATATGGAGTCTAATGACATACTCATGAGAGTGACATTTCTATCAGCTTTTCTATATTTAGAAGCAAGTCACAGATCCTACTTGCACTCAAGGGAAGGAAATGACACAAGAGTGTGACTCACTGGAGGTCACCTTAGGGTGTGTTTACTACACCACTCATTGTCATAGGTCCAATCACATGCTTATTCCCCAGAACTCTTTTATCTTATCTTCTAATCTTGCTCCTTCTGGGCCCTTGATGAAGCAATTCAGCATCGTCCTCCAAATTGAGGACCCAGGAATACTGCTTAAAGCTCTGCCTGCTAGCAGGATTTACCCTAATCACCATTTTTCAGGGCTACATGTGAGTGTGACAAAAGTCTGGAAGCATTCCATTTATAGTTTGCACCAATATATTGATTCATCCATGATTCTTTTCCCCTGTTTTCTTCCAGATAAGTAGCTATATGCCAAGTACAAGAGGTTGTATAGATCTAGTAAAAATCTCACCTGCACAGAAATTGCAATTGGTACTACCACTTGGTTAAATCTACCCTCTCCTGTTGTGCTTTATCTGGCTTTTGCAAAATCTATGCTGGAGAATTAAGCAGGATTATGCCTCTTTTAAATCATTATGGGTAGCATACTTCATTCAGGATGATACCTGATTGGTTACCTTGCCCAGGGGCGGAAGAGCAGGTATGCAGTTTCATGAGCTTCCGCTTGGCCTTTTCTACCACAATGCCTCTTACTCAAAAGGCAGGGAACCATTGTGGAGATTTTGCCATCTGCTATC